CGGCGGCACCTACACACCCCGACATTGCGAAACCCCTCGGCGCATCCTCGCGACAATACCTGTCCTCCAGCCACACGCCCAACACGACCCACTCACCCAACTTAGTCAAAACCAATGCGCCACGAATTCGTCGTGCAGACAGATCCCTTCCTCCTTTTCATTCATGCATCTATCTACGCATCTATATGCAATGCCCACGACGCTCCCCTTCTGCACGAGGACATCACTTACGGCGAGGCCAAACAAAGCGAAGTCAACATCCTGCTCCACCTGACGTGGCCCAAAGCGAGACTCGAATTCTTCAACTTCATCAACCGCCGCCAGAAGCTCATCCAGCAACGCGTCGCACATCATATGGGTCTACCCTCTCCCTCTGCGTGCCGCGTCGCACACTGAAGAGACTGGACGAGTGGGAGCTTCAACCTCTGTGTTCCGGTGACTGTTGTCCGTAACGGAGGACGACGAATCTTGATTCGGTTTCCGCCGCCATATCGCGTCGGGCATAACCTATGTCCTGGAAATGGTAATGAGAAGCTGCCGTGCGAAGCTGCCACTTACTCATCGAATACATCGACCAGGACCAAGGCCAAATGCTATCAAACACCTGGGAGACGGGCAAGTCGGACAGTCGACTACGCAAGAATCTCTTCCGCAGCCTGTCACGAGTAATACTAGAAATGGGCCGCATCGGATTCCCTCGCATCGGGCCCTTCACCATCGACGACCGAGGATTCGTCCGTTTGACAAATCGACCTCTCACCCTGGAGATAAAGAACCTCGAGAACAATGAGATTCCCCTAGAAATCAAATCCCGAGAGACGGGACATAAAATACCGGAGACTCGTACGTGAACGACCTCCTGTCCTGCCATGATAAGCACTTGCGCTTCCAACCGAATGGGATCCAGACCAAGACGGATGGCGCGACCCATATGTCTACTTTGACGATGATGAGGGCGGTCCATTAAGAATTCTTCCGCCCTAAGCTGAACAAGGGACCGTTCGGGGTTCACCGTACTGCCTCTTCCCCCTTCGCATCTCTTTTCCTCTCTTTCTCCAAAGTACTGACTCCTTAAAATATGCCCAGACTCTTGGGAGACACCTCAAGCAAAAGTTTCATGGACCTTCAGGCTTGTCAGACTGGCTCGCGGTAAGTACGCCAAAGGTTCAACTTTCTTGACTGAAATCGATTGCGAGTGTGCACCTCAATGTCATCTCATTCAACTGCATAATCAGTGGCCAGGCAGGCAGTCTCATCATCAATTTCCACCTATCGCTATCTTTTGAAGGTGCGGATCCCGGTTCTCGTTGAGTGTTGGACCATGTCCATCCTGACTGTCTTGGCTACCACATGCTTGAGGGCATTCACTTTGAATTTCACGGTATGTTGTTGTAAATTTGTGCGGTTCGATCCAGAGCCAGCCGCCGGCAGTCGGGACAAACAGTGAATCGTCCATCAACCACGCACGTGGGTACGAACCGGGACTGCAGCTGATCGAGGCATGTGAAAACCGAGGCTTCATCACGTGAGGTGTCATCGGGGACGGAGACAGCACCGAGTGGTGCCGGTGCCATTCGGACAAAGAGAGTAAGAATGCCCGAGCCGAAAAACGGCGGGGATGGATACGCGTACAGTATTTCTCTGACGGTACCACTTTGTGTAAGAGCGTGTAAAAGCATGTACTGAATCTAGCTGGGTCTGTCAACGCCAAGAGCCACTACCGAAGGTGCGAAGCTGGAATAATTAGCGCTTTTGGTGAGATGCACACTAGCCGAATGTGTTGATCCTTGTGGCTGCTTTTCATCCATCCATCACTAGCGCCATGGCGGCGCCAAGGCCCAGCCAGCCTCAGTTCAAGGCTTCGCTTACAGAACGTGTAATCGACCGGAATGTAAACTGACACGTGACAGGAGATCTGCTCAATGCCGCACAGATCGAGGCGGACGTGCGCTTCGAGGCCTGTAAGGATGTCATCGGCGCCGGGCCTGAGAGGTGGGTGCCACGGGATCAATATCATGAGGCTAAGCAACGGGAAGAACAATTGAAGCAGAATGCGCTTAATACAGCTCAATCGGATGAGGAAAGAGGGCAATTACTCGAACATCAGTCTTTCGAGGATGTCAACGAGGAAGAGTCTCGTAATGAGCGAGCACGATGGATGAAAGTGATTGGAATTCGTTATCTTTATCTCCTTTCTTGTCTGCCACGATCCAGGATTGCATATCCGTGCCTCGATATCAGGGGGAAAGGCTCGATCCAAAAGAGCTATTAGGTTGACTGGTAGGAAGGAGGCGTTTCTGACTGGCGCTCTTCCAGGAATTACGGCAACTGCTCGAGTCGTCCTACCTTGTGGCTGGCGATTTCCTTTGGCAACTACGAGCCACAAATGTGCACGTCAGATTGGAAGACCGCTGACAGACATCTGGGCCCCAACGAACATGGCCTTACCCTATGCTTTTCCTCTCAGCCACCTTCTCCTTTCGCCTGTTGCGGCCCGCGTCCTTGTTCAGGTCTGATACATACGACCTCAGGCCTGCGCCTATGTCCCTCGCAAACTTTTCAACCGCGTTTTTAGCCTTCCGAGGGCTGAGCAAAGACAGCTCCTGGTAACTCCTGAAGGCTGCATTGGCTGCACCGTGATCATTGTGGTCGACGTCCTCTGGACGAGAGTCTACCACCTCTTGTCGCTTGTGCATTTCTTCTGGTCCTTCATCGAGGAGCTCGCGCTTCCGTTTCAGCTGTCCAGAGTCAGGTGAATCGGACCGAGTTCCATTTCGCCGCGGACTGCTCTTCTCGGTCCGGAAGTCGCCCATCATGAACGAGTACCGCTATGTCTCAAGAGACAGGTGTCGAATATCTCTTGTTGAATATCTCTTGTTGTGCTAACAGTTTGTGGTGTAGAGTCCGGCGTTTCTGGTTTGGACGTAGAGTTCGCTTGCCACTGTTGGGCGTTCTTGTTACAAATAATGTGCTGGTGGCGGTAGGATTCGATGATCTTGATCCACATTTTTTTCATCTGCGACTGATCCATTGAGGATTGTCGATGGATTGTCAATATCGAAAGTAATCTGCCCTGCCAACCCAGTCCAGTCCTCCGCGAATTCAAGTGCCATACTCTTTGAATGAAACATAATTGTTGCGAGCAGCGTACTCCTGAATAGCCAGCCTTGCTGTCGGGAGATCGATGCGGGAATCGATCTTATTGGCAGCGGCAACTGTCCTCTCAAATGACCTATACTATGCGCGATTTGGAGGCTAGGAAGGACCCTTTGAGCAGTCACGAGAAGATGTGGAAGCACCTCTCCACATTCTCGTTGCGAAGCTTCGAGGAAAGGCGTTTAGCACCTATCGCAGCCACTTAGCCGTCGCTCTGGCATCTCTCTAGGGTGATTATCTGATGGAGGTTGCCGACGACACCGATTTGACGGATACGAAATGGAGGACAACATCAAGATGGAGAGGAATGCCCAAGCCGGCAGTGCCAATTCAAAGCAATGGTGCCCGAAAGTGTTGGATATCTGGTCTGCGAAGGGTCGAAGATGTCACAAGGTGGTTTCAGCGTCTTTGGTCTTTCGCAGAGGTGGACTGTGGTACATAGCACTTTACCCCCACGGCGAATCTTGACCTCTTCAAAGTCCATTTCCGTTTCTAGGCCCGAGCATCCCGTTATTTGACCTGGGCTGTGACTATACTATTCTGAACCGTGGCTGTGTGAAGCCAAACCCGGCTAGACGATCCTGGAGGTGTCTCCTGAGTAGCGTGAGCACCGCCCCTGAGTTCGTAAAGGTTCCTACTAGGAGTACGAGTAATTTGCTCAACGCCTCGGTACGGACCGTGCAGTGCCTAAACTTCCTGCCTGCGGTATCTCACATGTTCGGAAGGTTTTGCTCAAGTCTCGGCTTTTCCCTTGCCTGGATCATTTTGGCCAAGACGCTGTTGGAGTCGGTGTTGCGGCCGTGCACAAGTGGGTGTCAAAAGATGGAAGATTATCCCGATTGACCCCTGCTACAGAGTGCCGAGGTATACGCAATGAGACTGCTATCTGGCTGGGGCGGACTTTTCTTCGTTGGTGCTCAGGGAATTGCCTGCACACGTGATCGAGTTGTCTGTCTCATGGTGACTTTCGACCGGACAACACAATGGTCCAACGGCAGGGGAACAGATTCTAAATGATACCAGGTCTGGTTGATTGAGGATATGATGGCTACTACCCAAGCCACTTTGAGGCGAGAAGGGCCACTCCAGACAGGTCGTCGGGCACAAGGCTAGAGACGAAATATGCTCACGTAATGTTTATTCCTCGGGCGAAGATCTCCAACACGCAAGATTTCCTCGTCACCGCTGCCCTCCCCCAACAATCCAAGTGCATCGCCAATATCATGTCGAGAAGATGCTTCGACACCCCCAACTGCTCCACCACCTGCTTCCTGTACGGATGATTCGCACTCAAAGTCTCCTTCCTACACAGTATTCACATTGAACCACTTCAAAAAAGAGGTACCTGCATCTGTGACGACCTTTGGACACGAAATTATTACGCGCAAACGAACCTAGCCTCCTAGTCTACAAGATTCAAAGGTTCAAGATGCGATTGGCACATGTTGAGAAGGCTTCTGTCTCCCCCTGAAGGACGTTCTGTTGTGCTGTCTCATCCCATCCTAGATTGATGCTCGTTATTGCCCCCACAAGTATCGTGACGCAACGACTGGTCACGAGTAAAATATCGATCAGAACTCTTGGTTGGGTAGAATGTGAGCAAAGTCGTCAGCACTGCCGTAGTGGTGGACTGAGATTTGATGTTCAGCTTACATGTACAAGTATACGTACCCGATCCTCCAAGATCTTCCTTCGACACGCACAGGACCGTGTGGCGTCGAGGCGTTTGGGCTGGAATGCTACGTTGCTTCTTGGGGGCTTGTACTGGTACATTTCTTCGTGGTAAAAGAGCAAGCACTATAACACTTGGTCGTGTTTTCTGCAAATGGTGCCAATTCCCATGTATTGATGTAGTCTCCAACTTAGTGCGGTGAAGGTTCACTCACTACGGAATTAGAAAGGTTACCTAACCAAAGTCAGCGCCTGGGTCGACGGCCGTTGAAGGACAGTTACAACAGTTGATCCCCACGTGCTCGCGGGGCCGGCGGCACGATAATTCTTTTTCAAACCACGTTGGCAAGGAGTTTCTGAGAAACTGTCGGGCCGCTTCACAATTAAGTACACTCGGTCATGTAAATCTGTCAAATCATTTCCCATCATGGAGATTCTGTCTCTGTGGCCACACGTAAAACTAGGTGTATTGCTGGCTACTTTCATATCGAGGAGAAAGTTTATACAGGCTCTGTTCAGCCTTGCAAGTCCTTGGCGAAAAGGTCTGGTTGTTGATGTGAAAGCTGAGGTGTTTGCATCAGGGAACCCGCCCAACACAAACTACCATAGGGCACAACAACTACACACTCACCCACACACACAAATTCACGGTTCGAAAATCCCTCGTCTTAGTCCTCTCAGAAAACAAAAAACTTTTTCCACCAGCCCCTTTCGAAGGGGGTGGTGGGAAGTTAAACCCGCCGTGGCAGGTTTTTCCGTTCGTTGTAGTTGTTGTTAGATATATTGACTCCTTTTTGGCTCGCTGCCAGGTTCCTGATATATCTGTCTCGCTCGGTAGAGGAGGAGGATCGCCTACTAGAACCAAATGTATTCCACCTTGTTGACTTCATTAAGTCTCTTTCTTGATTTTTCTTTTTTTGGTTTTGTTGACTCTGACAGTCTCTTTCCTGAGTAGGGGTCTTTGCGATTTGTGGAGGGATTTCGGGATTGATAATATTTATGTGTTAAATTTTTCCGTGGGCCATGTGATCAGGTTGAAATCACTTGAATGGGAGGGAGTGAGGTAGGTTACCTACCCATACCGCATCTGTGAGGGTGACACGGGAAACACACGAATTTTATCACGCGCAAAACGAGAGGAGAATTCTCCTGACCTACATACAAGGTTCACAGGTTTTACAATGCGGTTTGGCACGGTCATTCCATCGAGGAACGAGGATGAACACGAAAATGATAGGATTCATAAAACACAGAACCGAATTTTGTGGCAGTGAGCGTTTGGTCGTGCTCCCGTATTTCGACAGTGCCGATGCTGTCAACTTCGTTTGTGTGGCCACCACATTCTTTACCAAGCCGAAGCGCCCAGACTCGGACATGGTTGGCCACGCGTTGCATAATTAGCGGCCTGGAGCCCGTTTCTATGAGTATATACTCGGTACCAACCAACCGGATGAGGAGGTGATGTCGGATTCCGTGAACTCCAAGTAACAACTCTAGCCACAGGAAGCTGCAAGGTATTTCGAAGCTAGATTGTACATTCATCAGAAAAATGACAAGATGGTTCCGTCCGAACACTGACAATGTCAACAGTAGCTACCTCTACCACGGCCTTGACAATGTCAAGTGTAGGATACCCCGTACAAAGGCCAACTACCCTGTACGATACCAAGTATCTAAATAAACTATTCTACCGCGAGTTACGTCATATTACTGTAATGGGAGAATCTAGGCGTGATTGGTTGAATTTGCCCGTACAATGTACAGGATGGCACTCTTCGCCACTGATTGGTTAGATCTCTGACACTGGATCTGAGGTCCCCTTTCTCTTTCATCTTTCAAGAAGGATCAACCTGCCAATCTGTCAAGGGGAGTCCAAGCAAGGAACACAAGGATACAGAGGACAGTGATCAATCAAAGTTTTGAATCTATCTGATCAGGACTTTCTATGCTGTTTCGTCGTCGCTGTGCGATAACCGTTACCCCCAACACCATGCCCACCGCCGTACGAGTTGATGCCTCTGGCCAAGAGCCTCGCCTCGGTTCATTACCAGTTAGACTTTCCATCTCAGAATCTCATGTTATAATTACACCCTAATAGTAGAGATTCCTCCTGTTCTAGGTTGCGCCGTGATAACCTTGCCAGTAACGACGTAGTGCGGTGTGGCCCGCATTTGGATCAGGAATCCGTGCGAGGACATCCTTTCCATTTTTTTTTCCCCCATCCGAAGTGAGAAAACTTTTTTGTGAAGGCCTTTCCGGCAGCTTGACGATATTCACACAAGCAGAGCGGAAGGGCACGGCCAGCAATCTCCTGCAAAGCTTCTACGTCAAACTTTGACACATCATTTCGCCATCTGTGCTTTTGATGTTCTCTGGTATTTCTCCAGGGAAAATGTCATGCGCCGCTTTCCGAAGTCGACGGAATGAGTTGGGCAACTTCATCCAGATGTCTCATCTCGGTGATTCGGCATCATCCAATCTGTGAAAAGTGCTGTACTGGGAGGCTGGGATGCCTGCGCGGTACGTGGCTCGATGGAGGAACATGACAAGTTCAACTCGGGCTCAGGGGGAGCCATACAGTCAAGTTGGCCGGTTAAACTAGTCCCTTTTAGGCCCCTAGAGCTTAGCGTGTCACGCGTTTGTCTTTTCAACACCTTTCACAGTCTCTCTTATAACCCATTTCTTGTCACTCCCAGTCACTCCTAGTATCTCCCAGTATCTCCCAGCACTAGGGGGTGCCAGAATTCCGTGGCCACTTTATTAGGGAAAACTTAGCCGTTCACTACAGTGAGTAGCCACGTTATTATGACACCCCTAGTGCTTAGTATCTCCTCGTATCTCCCAGTATCTCCTAGAACTAGTCATTTTGCCTGTCGTAAGTGTGTCATTTCATCTTCGTTGGACACTAGTAATTTTTCAAAAAGTGACTACTGCACCTCACCTCAGGGTGGGCTGCTAACTGTTCGAGATGAACGTTAGCGGGGGTTTTGGCATGACCTGTATTAAATTGCCTTGGCACCCTTGGCAGCTAGTTGCACGTGGATGGTAGATCGTGATGATTGATGCCGCAAGTCTGACATGAGCTTTAGGTACACAGGTCGATAACTGTCTTCAATGCCCTCAATGAAACTTTCATACCCGCTATCTCATTTGTGGTCCTCCACTAATTTTCAACCCTTCTCGATCACATGAAGCCTCTTCGAAGTCGAGGTTAGTTACGGCGAGATGATGCAGGAGACCTCGACCCGTGGTTGATGCCTCGACGAGCAACAGGCGGGTACGTCATCATGTAACTAAAACCTCTCCGAAGGACAATGGCGTCGCTGCCGTGGGCCTCCACGTATCTCGACGCCTCAGACCCATCGTCAGACCCATCGTCCGACCCAACCAGCTCCTGCAAGGAATTCGAGCCCTGACGGCAGAACCAGATCCTCGCTCTGGTCCCGAAACTTGTCACGGCGTACACGAGTGTGATGTCCGGATTCGCCCTCAGATATTCCGCGCAGGCAACATATGCCTGGGTTTCGATTTCGACCAAGTCAGCCCATGTAGCTTCTTTGTTTGTGAGCATGTGGAAAAATAGGGTCTGCATGCCCGCGTGTCCCAGATATTGGACAGACATGTCTGTCATGAGCGGCTCGATGTCTAAGGGACTGTTGTCGACACCGACGATCCATTGCTTGCCCGAGAACAGGTATTTCGCGAATAGGTGCAGCCAGAAGTTGAGTGCAACATTGTCTGACCAGGCGTCCTCTTGGACTCGATTCCATAGACGCAGCAAAACCTCGTCCGATACTAGTGACGCGGCTTCTTCACCGAGCGCTGGTGGTGCGTTGTTGCCAACTGGGTCTGACATTGGTTCAGGTTTTCTGGAGGATTTTGGGTTGTTGTGAGAGTAAAGACTTGTCAGTCGAGGTGAATTCATTTCGGGGGTTATTTAGTATACTTGACGTAAGGAGGCAGCTTTGTGTATGCCAATCAATGTATTGCGAAGAGTGGATAGGGAGGCCTGAAGCTAGGAATAAGCAGCTAAATGGGTTAGAGGCTCCGGTGCAGGAAAAAGGGGGGGAACTTATGATTCGTCGGCCAAGCAGAGAGAGGCGCTAGCCGGCGAGATATTGGACAAAGAACCTGTCAATTATCCAGATATCGAATCAGCGATCAATCATGCCCCGCCCTCCCATGTTTGATTTGCTGATGATACGTTGCACAGCATTACACTAGTTTGGTTCACGCGGCACATGTTGTTTCGCTCCAGGAAAACATGCACCCTTACACCCCTTGCTTGCAAGCGATGAGGCTGCCAATCAATGCCTCTCTGGCTGGGCTACTGTCCGGTATCATGGCAAATCCGTTGGGAATCCCCTCGACCAACAATTGATGTTGGCTGTGGTAGTCTGCGGGGATCTTTGGCTGTCTACCCAAAGTGCCCTGCAGTCAGGAGGCTGCGCTCACTTCTTTTACCCCTGTCTACAAGCAACGTTGGGCATCCCCTCGACCAACAGTCGATGTTGGCTGTGGTAGTCTGCGGGGATCTTTGGCTATCTGTCCAAAGTACCCTCTAGTCAGGAGACTGCACACACTTCTTTATCCCTGTTCACAAGAAACGTTGGGAATCTCATCCAACTGCGCCTGGCCAGGCAGAGTGAAGCAGCGGTGAAGGCATCACTGTAGCACCACCGTTTTCGTCTTTCATTGGTACTCTCGTATCTTCCCCTGTCGTCCTTTTGTCTCTCTGTCGTGCTTTGCCATTTCGTCGCACTGACTGCCCGCGGAAAAAGAAAATTTGGCCACATCATTTTCTGCACAGGAATGTTGCACCCCTCCTCTTTGGAGCCGGGGTAGCCTGACCCCAACATTGGACACTGCCTACTGATTGGCTCTATTCGGTGCGGAAAAACGGTCAGCTGAACCTGTACCAAGACTTTTGAAGGACCAATCCGCGAGGTTACGGGAAATGCCGTTCCAGGATGGCCATGACAGAAGGGCCGGGCCAGCCACATCCACGTCGAAAAGTTCCTTCTCGGAAGCCTGCGATGCAAAAGTGTGGAATCTTGCTATTTTTCTTTTTCTTACTTGTCCGTGCTTGGCTGATAATGAAAATGGAAATATCACCAGATCCAGTCTAGTCGAAAATATGTTCCCGCGTTGAGGCTGACACCGTCGCCGTTCGAGTGGAGACACTGTCTTCGTCATAGAATCTACCCGGGGAGTCTTATTGGCCAGAATAACTGATCAAGAGAGGAATCGTTTGGCTTTTCTCACCAGAGCCACCAGCCTGCAGCCCAAAATAGTGCATGCATACACAACCACAAGGCCCACATTTGGACATCTGGCACTGGCTTCGTATTTCGCTTTGCCACTCCTGTTCCGTGTGATTGCACTGGGTCAGCGGCTAAGGAGCCAATATCATTGGTGTGAAAATAAGAGCAAAACATTGGGACGGGGTTGGCAGAAGAGGGAGTACCTGAAATGGGATAATTTCCCCCGTGACAGGGGCATTCCTCGTGACACGCATGCGCAATCGCTCGATTGGCCACTGTTGAAACACCAGGTACCGAGACGGCTGTGTCGAGCTTCAAACCCTCGACAAGTATAGCCTCAATCGAATAGATTACACGATGGAGTTTCTCACGTTTTTCGTACATCACGTCTTCTGTATTGATGACTCTTGGTAAATAACGCCAAGGACTGCCTGCGTCAAGACCAAGTCCCTACGAGATCAACGACTATGGGTCCCAGCAACACTGGTCGACCACGTCAGTCAATCCCTCACAACCACTGCTTCTCTGACAAAGAGCCCCTCGGCGGCCACCTTGACCATGAACCTCGCCAGATTTACTCCACTGACGCAATCAGCGAGCCCCATCCCCTCACCAATGCTGCCCAGCGTCTCCACGTCTAACTTCTGGGTCGGGGGCATCGAATCGTGATATTGCACCCTCACAGCCCTCACCAGCGTCCAATCCATCTTGGTTCTCCGGATCTCCTCGTCAACAAGCCCGTAATCCTCGAACGGGTACTTGGCGCTAGTCAACAGCATGCTCGCCTTGACCTCCCAGGGGAGGTGGGCGAACGAATCGCCCACACCAGCCACGGACTTGACGACGACACGAGAAATGCCCGCGGCTTGCAACACATCGCAGACATTGGCGCACGAATCTGCTAGGAATCGAGGAGGCGCGATCCGGCCTGCGAACGGGCGGACCGTGTTCAAGGTGATGATGGCCGCCGAGGGTGTCAGCGAAGGGGCCGCGTGGAGGGCGTTTTCTATGTCGGCCTTTGACAACGGCGAGCCAACCGCGATGGTGAGGCGGCGGTGAAAGAAAACGAGTTTGGTATATGCAGAGGGAGGCACGAGGGCCACGGCAGTGTGGCCTTGAAGGAGCAACTCCATCACGACGTTCAGGCCGGCCTCTCCGGTGGCGCCGAGGAGGAGGAAATGCATGGCTTTTTCTTTTGTCAAGAGTGAGGAGGACTGAGGTTCATGGGGAGACCAAGGCAAGAGGAGAAAAAAGGGCTTCTTTATATAGTCTTCTGGACGACGGAGTTATGGGTCTCTCCGGGCCTGATGACCCCATGCGCCCAGAGGGGGGAAAAGGGGGGTCAGAATTCTGTTTCCTCCCCCCCCCCCCCTTATTAGGGCATTCTGCCTAGATTTCCAGCCTCACCGAGGACGGAATTCAGTCACACCCACACCCTGGGTGCCATGGACGAATGGTTGCTGAGCCTCCTAGGCCCCGAGGTACAATGCACCCTGATTGGTCGGTTCGGTCTGTCCACTCCCTCGAATGGAAGACGGAAGCCACCCTGGTTTTTTTTTTCTTCCCGTGCATGCATTACTGACAGAATTCCATCAGGCTGTGCGGCCAATAGCGAGTCGTGGTAGTTGTGATCATATGAGTGTGTCATGTGGATGGTTTGTTCTCGAAACCTTGCAGTTGGCTGGCTGCCCTCTGTAGGTCCCGAGCACCGATCCGTCTTCATACCAGGTGTACCAGTCTTCACTCCATTTCCCCCTTCGTCTTCTGTCAGAGCGTTCAGTAGGTATCTAAACAATAGTTGTTGACGCGCTCCAAGTTGAGGTCCTCATCCACCGAATGGAAACCTCCACCAATACCACTGCATCATGGGCATGGCTTTGATGAAAACTCCTCTCGATCACGTCTCAAAGCAGCCTCAAGAGCCATCCTCCATTGTTTACCGTATGATTAGTACGAGGTCTCTGAATGGGTTGAACACATCCTTGCTACTGACCCCAACCTTGTCGAGGCCCGGCTGGACTGTTTGCTGGCGTTGACTGTGGATTGGTGGGCGCTCTTTGTGCCCAACCCAGGTGGGGCGGTAGCCCCCAATTTCACCACCCTTCTTGACAGCTAGAGTGGACACCGTGTTGGGCAAGTCTGTGTGACAAACATCTTGCAGTGAGCGAGAGCCTAGAATTGCCTAATTCTGGACACAATAGCGCGAAAGGTATAGTTGGTCCCAACGGTACCGTCCACCGTCTTCGCCCACGCCGCGAACGGTTGTCGACACTTTGAGTGGACCTTTTTATCGGTCGACGCATTGTGTGCACGCTGTACGACGCGAGGGTTGGCATCCGTTGGTTCATTGTACCACTTCACCAAGGTGTGGAGTCGCGTAAAAGCCGTTTGGCCAAGCATGTCGTGGAAGGAGAAGTCAGCGAGGTTGCTGGCGGCAGCTTGGTCGAAGGTGATGACCTGCCTGTCTCTAACGAGGTGAGTTTGGCTAAGCATTATTCACTCGGTGATGTCAGAATTATGGCCATGGCATTGTACGCAGACAGACTCACGAAAGCAGATACAATGTCTGGTAGAATTGTGCCCACTTTGCCGTTCAACATCAACAGCACACTCCTCTAATACCCTATCGACCTCGAGTCCCACCCGACGATCGATACGCCTTGACCCTCCTGTCCACCTGGCTGGCAAGACACTGTAATCTCTCGTTCTCGGTCTGCAGCGCGGCACAAGCTTCGGGCGAGCAGTCGAGGGATCCCAAGAGAACGATTCTCAGGATCAAGTGGAAGAGGCGCAGGAAGGACACTGAAAGAAGCTCCGGCCTTGGAGGTGTGGTCTCCGCCTGGAGGGGGTCAAGAGCCGCGAGCCACGATGCCAACGAGTCTAGCAGCGTCGCTTTCTGCGACCGAAGTCGAACAGCTGCTCCCGTCGAGTCGACCCGTGATACTTGTCCGAGGAATTCGAGCGTTGATGAAGCGATTCTCGCAAGCTCTGTTCGCACGTCAGGTGCGATCGTGCGAAGATTGCAAGATGCAGCGCGCTGTTCAGGAGGCGAGACCGAAGACTCTGATACCGTCATCACACCCGTGTCAGCTGGTGCTGGAGGTTCTGCAAACCTGCACGGTGCAGCGAACAACTTGATGATGAAGACGTCCAGAAAAGGGAGTCGGTCAGGGTGTGCTGGTGTCAGCTCATACGCGGCATCAAATGTCGGTCGTGCACGGTGTTCACGCATGATCCCGAGTCCTCGGACGAGGTGCTGGGCCATCACGGCGTAATTCTCCCGCACTTGTTCGATGCTGATGAAGATCTGACAGCAAAGCAATGCCGACCTTAAGCCATTGGTGCCTAGGGACATGGTAGATGCGAGACCCCCCAGGGCCATACAATATTGCTGGAGGCCGTAGTCATGGCTCGGGGTCTGCTGCGCGGCAGACGCCGGAACATCTCCGGTGGTCTCGCGGTCTTCGCGAAGAGCTCTCAGAGATGACACTGCGTGCCGTATAGACGGATCAGTCAAACTAGCCTGCAGGACCTGCTTAGCTTCTTCGTCACAGTCCAGCTTGACATCGAACATGGTTTTGGTCGAAAAGTA